TAAAGCGCCGGACATTCGCTTTTTGTCCTCTCAATTTCGTAAACAACACTCCCGCCACGAGAAGGCGGTGAGTAGGACTTCCCTGGCAGAGGCTATATATTCGCTGGCCATGTGAGAGCATTTCGAGAGGGATAAAGGACTTTCCCCACTCTCGGCCGTACCAGGGCATTTGGGGGCCCATGATGATTTACTTTCAGTCAAAAACCATGAATACATGAGATTCTCGTACTTTATTTGACAGTTTGAGAATAACATTCCTAGTTACTACTATCCTGCCTTCTCTCTTGTGACGTTGAGGGTTCGATCGTTCAAGTAGTCTAGTAGTACGCGGCATAACAAGTATCTAAGCTCTAGATATAACAGCGGGACTTACCTAACAGTGGCTACATATGTGTGGCCATGTGACAGCATTTCGAGGATGAGGGAGGAATCTCCCCACCCTCAGCTGTACCAAGGCATTCAGGAGAAATAATAGTGGTGTCAAGACAATCTGTCTAGGATCAGGAACTGAAAGTAGGATTCTTACGGAGGGAAGAGGAAAATGAAGAGGAAGGAACATAAAACAGAAAGCAATCGAAATAACAACAGGAATGAAAGAACAAGTTTGAAGAGACAACTTAAAGATGTGCAAATAGTGCATTTAATGCATTACTTCTATATTTTTTTAAAATGCAGTGTGTGAGTGCAAGATACGATTATTTGGTTCACCCTAACCAAGATTTTGTTCATTAAACTACTATTCGATGTAAAATGCAATTTCTTTGGTCTGTAAAATAAACGACAGAAATTACATCACATAAATCCTAATTCTAAAGAAACCAAAGGTGATTTGGTCACCGAAATAGATCACACTTCCTCTCAACTTATGAGACATGGTGTACCCCACCTTCAGGGATCATCTACTGTCTCAAGAATGGGAGGTGGTGGTGCTGATAGCAACAAAGGGGCGGCGCAGCATGAAACGATGGCGATGCATCTGAGATGCCTGACTTATGAGTACTTCTAGGGATGTTGTTCTGAACAGTGAAAATGGATATAGAAGGAAGGTTAGTGGACTACTAGAAACAAAAAAGTTAGTTTAGAGGAAGATAATTGTTTCATCATAGATTGTGCAAGGAAAACGTCTTCCATGACTAGTTTGTGTACGATTATTAAATAAACTGTACATACACAGAGTATAAAATGGAATTAATTTAAACCAAACAACTTACCAAGTATTGAATTGTATCTCATTTTCCGGTGTACGACGTTTATTATAATCTGACAATGAATAATGGCGTGCATTTGTGGAATAAAATAAACGAAGCAACATAGGACAAGTATTCTCCCGGTCAATTCCACTTGGAACAGTGATTGGTACAGGACGATTTTTGAATGGAATAGGTCGTAGCATCACTTTCTTTGATCGTTCATCTCTTAAACGTCGTTTATTATCATCATTATTCGGTCGTGAGTAATCATTAGGTTTTGATTTTGACTGTTTTTCTGTATAATCTTCCACATCATCTTTCGGATCTTGTAAAGGACGACGCACAATAATACGTCTAGTTTCTTCGCTTGGTTGTATCTCTACACCACTAGTAGGTCCACTTGAAGCAAGATGCACAGAAGAAAACAACGCTGGAGAACGACTTCTACTTCGACGATCTAAACGTTTATGATCAAAACCACCTCTTCTTCTTATTTCATCACCATCGTCATCATCATCAGCAGTATCAATGGGGAGTGGTGGTTTTTGCCATCTGGATAACGGTGAAACTGGTCGAACAAGACTTCGAAGATTGGTATTTCTTCCGTTTTCCATTGAGGAAATATAGGCATTCACTATTTTGGAATAATGAATCAATTAGAAATAAACTTTAAGAATGTAAACTGGATGAAGCGAATAAAGAATTGTGACTAAATCAGAGGTTGTAGGAGCGAATCCCGTGTTCCACTTACTTTAGTGTGCGTGAATTGGACCAAAGCTCACTAAAGCCCTAATACAAATGACATAATCACAAGCCAATTACATAAACCTGTAATTTATTAAAATAAGTTTCATTTACTAGTGTAGTAACTGTTGTTGACATGTTATACTTCGGTTTGACTAACTGACTGATTGACATAATGATACAATCACGTTTATTGATTATAAATCGTGGTACAGAGAAAGGAAGTTTCAACACCAACTGTGGAATGTTACAGTGAATATCTCACAGACGAAAATTTTGACTGTGATTAGTCAGAACATATTTTGTGTTCATAACAGTCAATGGCTGTCACCTGTATTCAATTGCCAAACTCCGATTCATCGTATATTGAGGGCATCGATTACAAAATAATATTTGCATAGTTGAAACATTGACGGTTCAAACATTTGAGCAGGCCATCACGAAACTGTGCTCACTTTTATTCAAAACCAGTAGTTAAATATTCAAAAACCTGTGAATTTTTTTCAATGTAGTTGTAGGAAACATGCGAAGACAGATACACCGTTGACCACTCAAAGTAATCCACAGTACTATTAGGGGTATGAAAGCAATCGTCACTTTCCGAATACCGACACTATTGAAGGATACTTTCTCCTCAGACACCTCAAGAAACTGGACTGATCTTGCCGACATGCAAAGACCATGAGACAATTGCTTCAGGTCAGTCAAACATGTCCTTTTTTGAGTACTGTTCCCTACTAGCCCTGTACTTAACACTGGTGATGGAAATTCGCGGAGCAACATGATGTGTATTGCTTTCAGGACTGATCTTTTCCAACTTTTTCCTTTCACCTTTAGAAAGCAATGTCGAATCAGATACCGTCATCATACTCCAGTACAATTGATAGTGTATATTCCCCCCCAAGACATTGATATCCAGCTTTAAACTTATTGCTCTTAAACAAATCATTCGAAACATAAACACTTGAAACAGTAATGATTGCCACGAGAACTTATCTCAGTAAAGTGAATAAAAGAACTAGATATTTTCCTGAAATCTCACTGAATTCGTTCGACGATTAAGAATAGAAACCGATGAGGCTTAATTCATTTATGCTAAAGGACTAGAATGCTTATGCCAGGATTCTTAATTACGTTTCCTTTTTAATGCAAAGTAAAGTACGTTGTAAAGTAAAGGTACACAATCGAAAAATTCAAAAGTAGGACTCCCAAGTTACATCATATTTAATAGTATTAAAAACCACCCAGACTTGACTTAATATCTTTTGGATAGCCCTCCGAATGCCCTGGTATGGTCGAGAGTGGGGAGAGTCCGCTCTCCCTCTCGAAATGCTCTCACATGGCCACGCGTATATAGCCTCTGCCAGGGAAGTCCTACTCACTGCCTTCTCGCACCACTGGTGTTGTTTACGAAATTGAGAGGACGAAAAGCAAATGTCCGGCGCTTTAACCGGGTCGGTGGATATGGATAAGTCCACCTAGGGGAGTTGGAAAAACCTGATTACAAACCAATGGTGCACATGGACTCAGTATCCTGAAGGAACAAATGGCGTATGAACCAATTGTAGGTCACCGGCTACCATGGGACTGCATCTCCTTATGATGCTTCACTGCCTTGTGGATCAGACGTTTAGGTCAAAGGCTCGGGGTGTGGCCCTTTAAGAAAACCACCTGCTTCGGTCTGGGCACTTGGGCAGTATCACAACCCTCACACAAATCAAATGAGATTTGTGCGGTGCATATGTATCCGGTGCTTCCTTTTGGATAGGAATCACATTCATATCTGTTTTCACTTAATAAATTCATGTATCTGGAATGAACAGAAAGATAACTAAAATTCCTTTCCTATAAACATGGAGTCTTTGCAAAGACCTGGACAATTTGAAGATTACAAACAGATTTAAGTTGGTCAATTAGTCGTGGTCAACGTAAATCCTGGTATATGTGCTCGCCTAACTTACTACACTAGATTAAGACAAGATGAATTTTAGAAAATCGATGTCAAAGAGATCGAAATAATATAGCAGCAATCATAATCACAAAGAATAAACATTGGAGATATGGTTCAAAAAGACATATTAAATAAATATTCGGACTGAAGATCTAGGAGAAGAATAACTTGTGAATGCATCTACCCCTTTGTGACTGATCACGAATCATGCCATCGAATGCTTTTCAACTGCTGATAGTGATTATCACGCAGACCCAAACCTCATAGTCTGGGTATCCCGAATGGTTGGGAACGAAAACCAATGACTTCATGGACTGATACCACAACTGTCAAAAGTTAAGAAATAATCAAGTTGCTTCGTCCTGATAAATAACTAACTAGCAACATGAACCAATATGATCCCATCAGTGACCAAATCCAAAATTTACGCGCCTCGCTACAAACTCACGGCTTATCACTAGACAACAGTCACACAATTTAATAAGTGACTGAAGTTGAGAATGTGAATTATTCAATGCCAACAAGATGCACCACATTCCCTGAACGTTCTGAAAGTGCTAAATTTCACTCTTTTTTAGAGGGTTGTGGATGCATATCTCTGAGTTCCTTATATTCAAACAAAACAGTCGTTTTATTAAGCCCTAACAATGATTTTACATATTTATTTATTCTAACACAAATATTGGTACAAGGAAACACCAGATTAATATGCGCCTCACAAATCTCATTCGATTTGTGTGAGGGCTGTGATACTGCTCAGGTGCCCAAACTGAAGCAGGTGGTTTTCTTAGGGGGCTACATCCAGAGCATTCACCCTACAGGTCTGATCCACAAGGCAGTGGAGCATCGTAAAGAGATGCAGATCCATGGTAACCGATGACCAACGATTGATTCATACGCCATTTGTTCCTTCAGGATACTGGAGTCCATGTGCACCATTGGTTTGGAATCAGGGTTTTCCAACTCCCCTAGGTGGACTTATCCATATCCACCGACCCGGTTAAAGCGCCGGACATTTGCTTTTCGTCCTCTCAATTTCGTAAACAACACCAGTGGTGCGAGAAGGCAGTGAGTAGGACTTCCCTGGCAGAGGCTATATACGCGTGGCCATGTGAGAGCATTTCGAGAGGGAGAGCGGACTCTCCCCACTCTCGACCATAACAGGGCATTTTGGGGCTGAAGTAATTCAGTGATATGAATTGCCTTCAAATTCACTTTAAAAAGGAACTTGCTATAACACAATTTTGATGTACATGAGACAAGAATTCAAACACAAAAACTATTATCTAAAAGTAAAATATACAATTAGTAAGAATAATTATATTGTTTAAAATAACAATTACAGTACAACTAAGTATATATGTACAGTAAACTTTTTTGATCGCACAAAATTAAGTTTTTACGCCAGTCGATGACTCTTCAACATTAGTATAATAAGGAATAAGATTATTGATTGAATGTGTACGACAAATCACTGATACACGTCGTCCACGATGTAAATTATACAAATCAATCGAATGTTCATTTCGTATTTCATTGACTTGTTCATTAGACAAAATAGCATGTGTTAATAAATAGCGTAGTGCGCCACGAATAATATAAACAGATCGTCTAGGTATAAATACATCTATCCATGAACCAATCGGTGGTAAGTCTAGTGAATTTAAATATTCATACTGATCTTGAGGAACGCCCACTACTTCACTTTGTGGAGCAACAGCTAAACGTAAAATTGAATCAGATAATAAACTTAGCACAGCAATTGACTCCCCACAGAACTGAAAACAAATAATATGAAATTTTTGAGTTTTACGAAGTCCAATTAATACAAAGAAGAAAAACAACTATAAACCTAACATGCATGAGACAGTCAATATGGTGACCTTGAATGCCTTTACAGAAATGATGACGCTTTCCACTTACTGATCGCCCACACTGTGTATGATTTCCTTTTTGGACATCTAACAAAGAAAACGAACAAGTTGCAGTTTTAACGATTTAAAAGCATGACCACAGGACCAACAGATAACTGTTTCGTGACGATCACATGGCGTTTTGCGAGTACTTTTCTGTTAGCCTTGTGCTTTTGAAGTCCGCGAGGCAACGTGACATGTGGTTCCCTTAGGGTTGACTTTCTTCAACTCCTTCCGACTTCATGAAGCAACATATATTCACATATACTGGTTTTCTTACGGAAGCACCTAACCTATGTCACACTCCAGTACAGCCATTAGTATGACTTCGTGGTCCGACCTCATGTTGCTACTTTTGTTCTTACGGCTCTCAGACTGACTTGTCTGGGAGAATCACACAAAATAATGATTTCTTCGATTAATTTAACCCAACAGGGTCATCACTAAACGTAACTCAGCCCACAACGTCGAATAGGCATATACCATTGACATTTCCAGGACTATCCAATGAGGGGATAGAGATTGTCAGAAACCTATGTGAAACCTATTAGTGCAATACAATTTGAAAAACAATCTGACGGCACATTATTTTGAAATATTGTATGAGAAAGCTGAAGCAAAACATATGGATAAAAATGGTATCATAACATACTTTTACGCTATCCACATGTGCCATTATCTCACCATTTTCAGCTAAATCCAAAACGTGAATTAATGGAAGTACTGATTGATCAATTTTTACAGCATCTGCTTCCATGGCCATTGTTGTCGCTGTTAAACCACTGCCTACAGTAGTTGCTTTCAATCGATCGACAACAAGCTGATTGGTGGTTGTATGCCAACTTTTACGTTCCAATTCACGGAAATTTTTAATAGCCTAAGAGGAAATATAAGGAGAAAACACCATTTCAGAGAATACACAAAACCTGTGCAGGAGCAGATAGAAAAATCGTAGAAAGTTGATCATTTTGAAATAGACTGACAGCTTAAGTGCGGTTTCAATGATAACGATATCCTAGGTCAAACCAAGTAATAAATAGCGTCTATAGGTAGTGCCCCGAATGTCTTGATGCAGCTGAGGGTGGAGAGATTCCACTTTTGCCCTCGAAATGCTGTCACACGGCCACATATATATAGCCACTGTCAGGGAAGTACCACTCGATGCCTTCTCACGTCAGGAGTGCTGTTTACGAAATTGACAGGACGGAAGCTAATTTGCGATACCTTAAACAGGTTGGTCGATGAGGAGGATCAATCTAGGAGAGTTGGAAAACCCTGAGGGAACAAATAACCCATAAACCAATTGTTGATTACCAGCTACTATGGGACTTCATCTTCTTACGTTGCTGCACTACCTTGTAGATTAGGCCTTTAGGTCAAAGGCTCGGGATGTGTCCACCTGAGAAAACTACCTGCTTTGTTTTGGGAACCCTGGCAGTATCCCAGCTCCCACACAAATAAAAAGATTGGTCGCATATCTATTAGGTGTCTCCTTCAGCTAATGTTTGTGTTTGAATAAATACGAGTTAACTGGTAAACCACTGAACCACCTAATGCTACTATACAGCAATCACAACGTACAGATAGTTAAAACGAAGTAAGCGAGACGGATTGCCAACCTGAGATCGAATAGTTGAACTTGAAAGTAAACCAGAGTGGTATTTCACTATTGTCACATTAAACCTGAAGGAAGATACTAAACCTCAAACTAACTCTCAAGACGAATTTCAGGATGACTATCTGTTTAGCTAGAGTATTGCCTGGCTTTCGCCAACTGGCGCCATTTATGACGTAGGCGAGATATCCGTCTAGCAACCAAAGGACGGGTTTACTGTGCAGCAGTCCGTTCCGTCCTACTTTATGGAAGTGAAACATGGCCGATAAGAGTAGAGGATATTCGTAGGCTATTGGTGTTCGATCATAGGTGTCTTCGAAGCATTGCTCGTATATCCTGGGACCACCGGGTAAGTAATGCAGTTGTTAGGAAACGGGTACTAGATAAGGATGGCAAATCAATTCATGAACTAGGGAAACTTCATCAGTTGAGATGGCTAAGACATGTGTTACGTATGCCCAACCACCGACTGCCCCGACGTGCAATGCTTTATGGTGTAGGAGTAGGTTGGAAGAAAGCTAGGGGCGGCCAGACCAAAACGTGACACAAATCCATAAAGTCACTGACAATTGGACTGAGCCATGTTGTTACGTGTAGATTACCTGGTTGGTATCCGCGAGATGGTAACAATCGATGAATGGAGACGTTGAATGACATGGCTCAAAATCGTTTGCAATGGAAAAGGTGCATCCACTCTTTGTGTTCTACCAAATTTTAATCTTCTGAATTCTTCATGTCCCTATCCTTTTTCTCTTTCCAAATTTATTTCACCGTATTATACTCCTTCAATAACATCTTCAAACCCTTATCTTTCACATAATACTTATACTCTTACTACTTCTACCACTATGGGATTTGAATCGACAACTTCATCTCTGTGCTAATGTGATATGGCAACTCGAACTGATGTACGTACGTACGTACGAAGTTCTACGTTGTAACTGACTGACCGACTAAATTTCGTGTTTAAGACTGGACTTTATCAGTAGGTTAAGATGGGTGAATTATTACATGTACAAAATGCCGAGCATTATGGATACACCAATCAATCAGTGTCGTCGGGACTTTGCAATACTGTACATTGATACGAGTTATCTCAGATCAGGAAGAAGTATACAAACAGCAAGAAGTGTAAGATGGTTAATAGGATTGAAGGTAATGAAAACCCAAATATGAGATACATTTGATAAAAAATTACAATGAATCTTGCCCTTTGCCGAATTCTAATGATTAAAAACATACGCAATTGTTGTGAGCAAACTTAGCCTCAGATGTAAACAAGCTACAGTTCAGTAAACGTATCCACATCTAGAAACTCAAATGGAAAACTATGGATCGAACATAGTAATACCAATAGAAAGATGGCAAGCTAGATAGATAAAAAGGCGGACGAAACGTAGTGATGGTATCCCCTCATTACTGTTAAGCGAAAATTCAGCTTTATTGGCTGAATCTGATCTAGCGAAAGCGGAGACATTTGCTAACTATTTCAGTGAGGCCTACTCCACATGTAGTGTTACAACTACTTGTCCCGTTGACAATGAGATACCAGCCATAGGACCTTTACACGTGACAGAGGATATTGTTCTTCTTATGATAACTAACTTAAAACCTTGTAAGATACCGGGCCCCGATGGGTTACACCCACGTTTGCTGTCGTCGCTTGCGGACATTATCTCAAGACCGCTCACGATGCTCTTCAACATGTCCCTTTCACAGGCTCAACTACCTAGAGACTGGAAAGACGCCATAGTTAGTCCTATATTTAAGGATGGTCAGAGACGGATAGTATCTAACTACCGGCCTGTTAGCCTGACCAATATAGTAGTTAAGTTACTTGAAAAATTAATTCGGGCTAAGCTACTGAGCCACATTGATTCGTACAATCTGTTAACTCCCGAGCAACATGGGTTTCGTAACAAGCATTCATGCTTGACTAACTTACTCATTGCGAGAGAGGATTGGACAGCTGCACTAGACAACGGCCAGTCTGTCGACGTGATATTTATAGATTTTAGCAAAGCGTTTGATAAGGTTTCACACTTAGGTCTTATGCAAAAGCTCTCGAGCTTTGGTATAACAGGTGCTATACAGGAATGGATAGGAAGCTTCTTATGTGACCGCAGACAGAGAGTGAGAGTCAATGGAACTCTATCCGAATGGAAACCGGTCAAAAGTGGTGTACCCCAAGGCACCATCTTCGGCCCTTTACTTTTCCTTCTGTATATTAATGAACTACCTTTATTACTTAAGTCGTCGACGTTATTGTCTGCGGATGATGTTAAAATCTGGAGAACAATAAGAAATGAGACTGATCGTTGTTATCTACAAGCAGATTTAGACGAATTAGTTAGGTGGGCTCATGATTGGGGCCTGGAAGTTAATTCTAGGAAGAGCGTGTTCATGCACATCGGGCACGATATTAGTTACCACTATACCATTAATGGTACATCTCTGCCACGCGTTCATGCGCATAAAGACTTAGGAGTAATTATAAGTCACGACTTAAAAACTACAACGCACTGCAGTGCGGTTGCTTCCAAAGGCTATCGCGCGCTATGGTCGCTTCGCAGAGCATTTAAATGCTTTGACGAGGATATGTTTCGAATTTTATATCCCACCTATGTAAGGCCACACTTAGAATACTGTATCCAAGCAGCTAGCCCTTGTCTGATAAAGGATACTAAATCGCTTGAGCATGTCCAGCGTGTAGGGACAAAATTAGTAAAGGGTCTTTCCAAACTCCCTTACGATGAGCGTTTAAAACGTCTAAATCTTTTCCCCTTATCTTATCGTAGGACGCGAGGTGACCTTATACTGGCATTTCGTATCTTTAATTATGATCTGGGTGTTAATATGTCCTACCTTTTTGCTCCCTCCAGCACTAATAATCTCCGGGGTCATAGCAAGAAGGTTCTGAAACCGCGATCTAATAAACTAAAGGTGGGGTCCCGTTTTTCTCATCGAGTGGTCAATGACTGGAACGCTTTACCAGAACAAGTGGTATCAGCACCATCAGTGAACATTTTCAAAAAGAAGCTGGACCTTCACTGGAAGGAAATCTGTCAGGATTAACACAGGTTCATCAACCTACTATCCTTATTACTGAAGACTGACAGCTTTAATTATTTCAAGTATGAGTAAGACTTGAAGACTAAAGTGAAGATTTACGAAACCATTATGGTTATTCATTTAAAATGGCCAAAAATAACAAAAAAGTGTGAGTTAATTCTAACATGTTTATTTTACGCTTCTGTTGAAGTACTGTTCACTTATTTATAGAGCTTATGAAATTCTCGATTATGATATTGCGGTCTACAGCGTCCTAAGACTTTGTCACCTTTAGAAGATAAGGCACTATCCTGAACAGTGGAAAAGCAAATAGTTGAATGACTTACATAATCCCAGTGCTTTGTTTGGTACTTTCGTTTGCAAAGTACAGAATCAAGTTCGTTTATCAAACTTGACTCCTGATTCTCCGTAACAAAATCCTGCTTGAGTATTAATTCATTGGATACAGTTTTGATGAGATTAGGATGTTTTGAATTACATTTTGTGAACCATGCCTTTTGATAAGTTGACAGTGCGATAGAACTAAAAACAGGACAACATCTACGTGCTGGCAAGAACGTAAACCGCCGCACCGCAATGCTCATAACCCCGCCATGAAAACCCAGCAGACAGTAAATGACTTTTTTATAACGAACATGTCAGTCAGTCAGTTCGTTTACTCTTTGTTTTGATTTATAGCATAGTTCTGAAACATCTGGACGCAGGAAATGTTTTGCATTGAGCTTCGATAAACCTGATATGTTCCACAGGCTGATGAAATTTGAGAAACTGCAATAATGGATGAGTTGCAATCTACTTTTATGTTCGAAATTAGGATATTCTAAGTGACATTTTGAAATTTGTATGAAGCTGTCCCTTAATTGTTTTTATAAGTGGCATGCACTCTCGACATGAAGATTGCTTACGTACTTAATAAACAACGGTTGCATAAGCTAGCTTCATACAAATCAACAGACTGTTTATACCGTGAAATATAGTTATGAGGACCACTATGATTAAGAACATAGCCCAAATACATACAAAATAGTTGTAGGAAGCTCTTGTACATAGTAAAATGTCAAATAGTTTAAATTCTTCAAGTGTATTTAAAGATTAGTTTGGGCGTCACTTTGGAGTATACCAACGGGTATTCTAAAGGCAATAAGTATACCAGGAATGCCGCGAAATGGAACACTGTAAGTACGTCCGAATATATATTTTTTAATTCGAGTGCGGCGCCTAATAACGCACAAACGGGTTGACAATTTACACAATTATAACTCTTTATGTGGGTAACACACATGAAACTGAAATCAAAATTCTAATAGATTTGTTGTCTTAGGGATATGAGTTCAATAATATTGCAAGACATCCACTTACACAGGAATAATAAGTCCAGAGCAATCAATCCGGGTTATCTTCAGTATGTGAATCTTGTTTCTCCATCTCGAATTTCTAAATACGATATGTACGATATCTAGTATCTGTCTTTTTGACTCGCAAGTAGAGCGTGACTTTCAAAGTAAGGTGGCGTCATCTCAAATAACTTCCTTTGGCTGGTAAGTTATCAGCTCTCCTGTAATGAGGATCGGTGGTCTCCATAAAATGTGTTCTACCTAAATGAATATCTTCATCTAATTTTCTCCTCAGTTAGAGGCTGATTTGCAGCCTACCAAATGAGACTAAAGTATCTTGCTTGGAATTCTGTTCATACATTTCGGATGACAATTGCGGTAGTTCTCCAGGTTTCCGTACCATGCACTTGAACAGTCTAAAAGTTATTATTGAAGGTTTCGATTCTGGCTCTGACTGAGAGTTGTTTTGATTTGTCAGTCTAGTTCTAATGTAACACTGCTACACCTGGTTTGCTTATCCGTGGATGTTTAGTCACTGATTGTTCAACGATGATCCGTAATGTCACAATTCGATCCGTGCGCGCCCGATCCTTACGTAATCCAGCTTGTCGATCTCGAAGTTAGGCGTCTAAGGGGTCTTTGATCCGGTCCAGCAAAACTCTTTTGAACAATTTTCGTGGTACTGACAGTAGTGTGATGCCTCTGTAACTCTCTCACACGACCAAATCTCCTCTTTCTCTTGATGACGTATCCCTCTTTCCAATCTGTCTTCGTTTGACCTCTCACCCAAATCTTCCTGTATAGGACGTAAAGCATACTTGAAGTTACTTCAATGCTGACTTCAGTGCATCAGCTGGTATATTGTCAGGTCCTGCTGCCTTACCACTCCTGATCTGTCTGATGTCCGTCTTGATTTTTTAGATTGTTGATTAAGTGACATCTGTAAGAAGGTTTGAGTGTGCTGTTTCGATAACCAATGGATTCAATGGAGCTCTTTTATGCAAGAGAGCATGAAAGTATTCTACCCATCTGTTCATCTGTTATTAAATCTTCGTGGTTGTCTTGCCTCCCTTACCCTTGATAGGTCTCCTTACTTACTTACTTACACCTGTTACCCCTCGTCGAGGAGCAAAGGCCGCTCACCAGCATTCTCCATTCAACTTTGTCCTGAGCCTTCCTTTCCAGTTCCTATTCATCCTTTTCATATCTGCTTCTATTTCCCGACGTAGTGTGTTCTTTGGCCTTCCTCTTTTCCGCTTCCCTTCCGGATTCCAAATTAGGGATTGCTTCGTGATGCAGTTTGGTGATTTCCTTAATGTTTGTCATGTCCACTTCCAACGTCTTTTCCTAATTTCCTCTTCAGTTGGAAGCTGGTTTGTCCTCTCCCATAAAACGCTCTTGCTGATAGTATCCGGCCAATGGATGTTGAGTATTTTGCGTAGACAACTGTTTATAAATACTTGTACCTTCCTGATGATGGCCGTAGTAGTTCTCCACGTTTCAGCTCCATACAGTAGGACTGTCTTGACGTTCGTATTGAAGATTCTGACTTTGAAATTAGTTGAGAGTTGTTTTGAGTTCCATATGTTGTTCAATTGTAGAAATGATTCACATCTGCATCCGATCCTGCTTGTTTATCAACGATGCTCCCCAGGTACTTGAATGTTTCCACCTCTTCCAGCGTTTCGCCATCAAGTGTGATTGGGTTGGTGTTCTCCGTGTTGCATTTGAGAATCTTGCTTTTTCCTTTGTGAATGTGGAGGCCTATCGATGCGGAGGCTGCTGCTACATTTGCTGTCTTCATCTGCATTTGTTCGTGTGTATGATATAGGAGGGCTAGCTCATCTGCGAAGTCCAAATCATCTATATGATTCTGAGTTGTCGATTGTATTCCACGCTTCCTAATAATCCAGTCAATCACTAGAAGGAAGAGGAATGGGGAGAGTAGACAGCCTTGTCTGACTCCGGTCCTTAATGGAAACGCATCTGTATGAGTTTTGGATAATGTTGACAATCTTTTCAGGAACTCCATAGTGTTGAAGAAGTTTCCACAATGTTCTCCTGTCCAGACTATCAAACGCCTTCTCATAGTCAATGAAGTTGACGTATAGTGATGAGTTCCACACATCTGATTGTTCAACGATGATCCGTAGCGTCACAAACTGGTCTGTGCACGACATATTCTTACGGAATCCAGCCTGTTGATCTCGAAGTTGGGCGTCTACTGCGTCTTTCATCCGATTCAGCAGCACTCTGTTTAAAAAGTTTTTAGTACCGATAACAAACTGATGCCTCTGTAGTTCTCACGTTTGCTCAGATCTCCTTTCTTTGGTATCTTGATGAGATATCCTTCTTTTCAGTCCGTTGGCACTTGTTCCTCTTTCCAAATCTTCTTGAATAGAAGGTGAAGCATATGTGCAGTTATTTCAATGTCTGACTTCAGTGCTTCTGCTGGTATATTGTCAAGTCCTGCCGCCTTCCCACTTTCGATTTGTCTGATGGCCATCTTGACTTCTTCGATCGTTGGTGGAGTGACATCTATAGGAAGGTCAGTGTGGGCTGCTTCGATGTTCGGTGGATTCAATGGGGCTGATCTATTCAGCAGTTCCTCGAAGTATTCTGCCCATCTTTTCCTCTGTTCTTGAATCTCAGTGATTGTTTTTCCTTCTTTGTCCTTGACTGGTCTCTCTGGTTTGCTATATCCCTCTGCCAATTTCTTCGTTGTATCATATAGTTGTCTCATATTCCCTTCTCTTGCAGCTTTTTCCGCCGTCGTTGCTAGTTCTCCCATGTATTTCTGCTTGTCGGCTTCAATGCTTTTCTTCACTTGCTTGTTTGCTTCTGCGTAGTCTGCTTGTGCTTTGACTTTCTCTGCTCGTGTTCGGCTGTTGTTAATTGCTAGTTTCTTGTTCTTCCTTTCTCGAATTTTGTCCAGGGTTCCCATAGAGATCCATTCCTTGTGATGATGTTTCTTAGGACCAAGAACCTCCTGACACGTTGAAGTTAGTGCTTCATTTATCCCTTTCCAGTTATCTTCCACAGTAGTTTCTTGTTCATTCAGTAGATCCTGTAGAGTTTGGAACCTGTTGTTGAGAGTTATCTTGAATTCGTGGAGCTTGTCAGTATCTCGAAGGAAAGCTGTATTGAACCTTTGTAGTGCTGTTTGTCCAGTTGTCCAGTGTTTTTTTAGCTTCAGTCTCATCTTGGCCACAACCAGGTGGTGATCTGAAGCTATGTCAGCTCCTCTCCGGTTTCTCACATCTTCCATTGATCTTCGGAATTTTTTGTTGATACAAATATGATTTATCTGGTTCTCTATGGTGTGGTCCGGTGAGATCCATGTGGCTTTGTGTATGCGCTTGTGTGAGAATATTGTGTCGCCCATAACCAATTTGTTGAATGCCTGTAGCTCTTCTGGAGTTACTGCCGGTCCCAAGCCCGGGTAAAGGAGGAGGGTTGGGCATGGGGTTAGCGACCCCATCCTGTAGAAAAGCTAACTCGCTAAAAAAGCGCTAACCAAAAAAATAATTCAAACCATTTAAACTCTGCACTGGGAGTTGAAGGAATAATTATGACATCTCATAATGAAAGCCGAGTTCCTTCGGAAGTAACGAGACCGATGCACCTTCTGACAACCACAGCAACACTCCTTATAGGTACATGGAACGTCCGGACAATGTGGGAGACAGGGAAGACTAGCCAAATAGCAATGTAAGTGAGAAGATACAACTTGGCAGTACTTGGAATCAGCGAAACCCATTGGACACAAACTGGATAACAAAGACTAGGTACAGGAGAGATGCTGCTGTACTCCGATCACGAAGGGGAAAATGCTCCACACACTCAGGGAGTTGCTCTAATTCTGTCCAAAGAAGCACAAAATGCACTTGTGGGATGGGAATCTCATGGACCCAGGATAATCAAAGCATAATTCAGAACAAAGAAGGAGGGGATCACAATGAACGTTATCCAATGTTATGCACCCACCAATGATAGCAACGACGATGATAAAGATCAGTTCTATGAAAGGCTGCAATCAATTATACAGAAGTGCTCACGAAAGGACCTCACCATCCTGATGGGAGATCTAAATGTTAAAGTTGGAGTGGACAACACAGGATATGAAGATGTAATTGGACGACATGGATCAGGAGAGAGAAATGAAAACGGGGAGAGACTTGCAAATCCATGTGTATTCAACAATGTGATATGTCTCCTTAGGCTTTATATTTCCCCAGTAGTATATTTGTCGTGTCATATGGCTATCTCAT